AACGCCAACGCCTTGCTGGCTAAAGCGCTGGAGTCGAGCGTGGTCCTCGACGTGCAGCGGATCGCGTGCGGGCAGAGGCATGCCATCCTTGTCACAAGGCAGGGGGATGTTTTCAGCTGGGGAGAGGAGGATGGGGGCAGGCTCGGCCACGGGGTCGAATCCGACGTTTCCCAACCGAGGCTTGTCCAAGCCCTGGAGGGAAAACCCGTCGAGTTCATCGCGTGCGGCCAACGCCACACTTGTGCCGTCACGCTCTCGGGTGATTTGTATATGTGGGGGGACGGCAGTACTCCTGACGGGCCGGGTCACTGGCTTCCGAAGCAGGTTGGGGGCCCGTTGGAGGGCCTTCAGGTCTCTTCGGTGGCGTGTGGCCCGTGGCACACGGCTGTGGTGACATCGGCGGGACGGCTGTTCACGTTCGGGGATGGGACGTTCGGCGCGCTGGGACACGGGGATCGATGTGGGGTGTGTAGCCCACGTGAAGTCGAGGGCCTCAAGGGGCTGAGGACCGTGAGGGCGGCATGCGGTGTGTGGCACACGGCAGCGGTCGTGGACGGGGACAGGGGTCAGCTCTTCACTTGGGGGGACGGGGACAGGGGTCAGCTCGGCCACACCAATGGCGACCCGAGGCTGATTCCTGAGATGGTGTCCTCGTTGGCTGACATGGATTTCTGTCGGGTGGCGTGCGGGAATAGTCTCACACTGGCTCTCACTACATCAGGCCGAGTGTATGCCATGGGGAGCATGTGTGGAGGGAAGCACCCAATCTGCATTCGAGACAACATAGGCGAGTCTTTCGTTGAGGATATTGCCTGCGGCTCACACCACATGGCCGTCCTGACTTCAAAGTCGGAGGTCTACACGTGGGGCAAAGGCTCCAGCGGGCAGCTCGGCCACGGCGATGTCCAGGACCGTAATATTCCCACGCTCGTCGTGTCATTGAAGGACAAACAGGTGAAGAGCATTGCTTGCGGCTCGAATTTCACGGCTGTCATTTGCCTCCAAAGGTGTATATCGAGTGCCGACAACTCCGTCTGCTCGGGCTGCCGCAGCCCTTTCAATTTCATTCGGAAGCGGCACAACTGCTACAACTGCGGGCTCGTCTTTTGCAAGGGCTGTAGTGCCCGGAAGTCCGTCAAGGCCTCGTTGGCGCCGACTGCGAGTAAGCCGTACCGCGTTTGTGACGACTGCTTCATGAAGCTGGCAGAGAGAGGCCCAGCAGCGTCCAGGGTCTCGAGCGTGAATGTTCAAAGGCTGTCGTCTGTCAAGTTGGACCGAAATCTTGGGCTGAGTGTGAAGAGGCCTAGCACGTCGTCCAAATCACCGACAAGCCCGCTTGGGTTGTCCCAGAATTTCCTAACGTTTTTCATGCCGGACCCGAAGATAGTATCCCGTTCGCCGTCCCCTGTGCCGGGGAAGACCCCACAGAGGTCGTCCACACCCTCGCCGCCCATGTCTCAGTCCAATACGGAAGATAGTAGCACTGATGTGCTGAGCTTTGAGCTCAAGAGCTTAAGGGCACAGGTGTGATGCTTTCTGATTTTTTGCGGAAAATAAGCTCAAGGATGTTTTAAACACATCCTAATGGAATTTTGGATGATATTTCAGGTGGAGAATCTAACGAGCAAATCCCAACTTCTCGAAACTGAACTTGAAAGCAAAAGAAAGCAACTGAAGGAGATGGCGGCACGGGCAGCAGATAAAGCTGAAAAGGCCAAAGCTGCTAAACAAGTGATCAAGTCTCTCACTGCTCAGGTTTTTATCTCTCTTTTGTTATATTAAAAAGTTACTATTTGGTTGTGCTCGATCGACAATTGCTGGTTTTAACACAAACAGAGTTGTAATTTTATGCAGTTAAAAGAGATGTCCGAAAAAGTGGCAGAGGAGCAAGCAACTGCTTTTAGCCATTCGGAACCTGATGTGGAAATGATGAACGATCCTAACCGTCCATCCAACGGAAGCAGTGTGACTAGTATAACCTCTCCAAAGACCAAAAACAGTGACCATACAAATGCACAAATGATGCAAAACGGAACAAAATCCCAAACACAAAAGTCAAAGCGGATTGTGCAAGACGAGCCAGGCGTCTACATAACTCTCGTGTCCCTGCCCAATGGTGCGAATGAATTAAGACGAGTTCGTTTCAGGTATTTTCTTTTTGTTCCTCTTGCATACATTTTTCCCTGAAAAATAGTATTTGCAAACAGTCGTTGAATTTTTGCTACTGGGCCCCACAACAGTAGGAAATGTTTCAAAGAAGAAGAGGCGGAGAAGTGGTGGGCAGAGAATGGGACGAGAGTATGCGAGCAACACAATGTCACGACTGTGCGCTAGTCTACCTTTTGCCATGTTACTATACACACACTCATCAAAGCTATTTTTGTTGGGATTTTTTCCTTTCCTTTTTGTTTTACGAAGTTTGGGCGTTAACTGTAAATTCTCGAAGTTGTTTTTGGTTAGCTCGACTTCGGCTTTGTGCTGTTTTACTATTTTTCATCTTTTTTTTCCCTCTCCATTTTCTCTTTTTTGTTTACACTTAGAACTCTCTAGTGTAGCTGTATAATTCGAGAGGAATGAAGAAATGTTCGCAATCAAGATGACATGATGACCTCTTCGTTTTATTGCATTTTTATTTGATGATGGTTCACCAGAATTTTGCCTTAAAACTCAAAAGGCAAATGCTTTTTTCGTGAGACAGTCACAACTTAAGTGTTCTGTATGATAATTTTGGAAAAAAAAAAAGCAAAAAATAATAAAAATAACTATAGATCCAATTAGAGAACTTCAAATAAATTAACAGGAGGAAAGTCTTTCCCCTCTCAATCCAAAACTGCTACAGAATTTGCTCAATGAAACACTAAAACAACACTAGGCTAAAAGTTTATATTTCGTCATCGGCCTTTAGGAGACGAGTAAGCACCGGTAGAAGTGGAAGGCTTTTCCTCTCTGAAAGGCTGAGTGGATTCCTCCGACACACTGGGCAGCCTCGAAACACTTCCTTTCCCCTTCCTCGCGTTTGGTCCAATTTCCTCTATCATGTACTTCCATCCATCAATCGGCCTCCTCCGGCTGAATATGTGCGTTTTTATGAAGCTCGCGATCTGAAAACCACATCAAGAAAAAAAATGAACATAACCGCATTGATAAAAAGCGTATCACTAAGGTTTAGCCTAAGCCCCTAGCTATACCTGACAACAAAGAGATCTCACAAGTTGTTTGAAAAAAGAATGGGATCTTTAAAGCTTAGCACTACAATCAATAACGATAAAGTTGAGCTCTAACAACCTGGAATTTATTGAATGCAATACGGCGCTCAAATTCTTGAACTAAAATATCTTCTTCTCTTTGTGACAAATCCCAAGCATTGCCATCTTGAGCTTTTGATGTTGTTTCCCAGCCATCAGGCTTGTTTTTTAACTCAGAGTCGCCAGCTTTCGGGTCCCCAAAATCATTGTTTGCAGAATCAAATATCCTACATAAATTGGACATATAGAATCAGACAATGTCCATAATATCTCAATTTTCCAGATATGAGCAAGTTTTAAGCATGACCGCAACCAGCACATAAATGATTTCCTACCCCTCTTGTTAGCAGAAAACAATATTTTACGAACATGATCAAAAAGCTTCTCAGATTCATTTCACTACAAGCAACCTTAGTTCCTGTCGAGCAACATGGCCATGGGGAGAGTAAGTCTACAACACCACACACATGGACTCAAAACCTTCTTTAAATATGAATTGATCACTTAGTTTTTTTAATCTTCCAAGTGAAGTTGCACTTTGATATGCTTCAAAGAAAACCTCAAGAACATATAATACTGGCTGTCCTGTTAAATAAATTCAAACTTCATGAAATTGAGACGAATACTAAGCTTCCGAGTCCTAACTATGATTACCAATGTTTAAAACTACTGTGAGGTCATACAGATTTGCAAATGATCACACCATACAATCAAACAGAAACTAAGAAAAAAAAACACTTGACAAGGTACAGCAAGAGCCTAAAGCACCATCACTAGTTCCAGAATCATATTCATAAGAAAACCATAAACACAATTTTGGGAACTCACATAATGCAGCTTGCAACGTTAGAATGCAGCCAAAACTAACAAAAGTCTTATAAAAATAGTAAAGTGTGGAGAAGTGTAATACTCAGAGGCGCTATCGAGTAGTTTCTCAATATCGTCGTCTCCATAAACGGAATCCCCCAATTTAGCCTCCTCCATTTTCTCAATCTCCTTCACCCACAGCCCCGCGTGTATTTTCTGCTTCGTCAGCCTATAATCCCTCTTGATGTTCTCCAAGCTGTAAAGCGGAGAAGAAGACGAAGATCCCGGTCCCGGCTTGCCGGCATCTCGATCGGTGCCCTTTCTGACCGATTTGCCCTTCCTCTGATCCCAGTTATCGTTCATGTCCTCTACAAAAGCCTGGGTCTCGGGATCCATCTGCTCCGTCGGGGAGGAGGGGGCAGTTTGGGAATTGTGATCCGCGACGGGAAGGGAGAGGCTGACATCGGACTCCCATGGGGCGCGTTGTGATTTTCCGGTCGAGTCGTTGGGAAGCCATGCTGTTTCCCAAGCGTCGTTCCACTCGTCCTCCCCGGTTCTGCCTTTTACGGTGGTTCGATTAGTGGAAAATGAGCGGACGGCAGTGGCTGCCGCCGTGGCGGTGGGGTTTAAGTTGAGGTTTTTGAGGGCTGAGGATAGCCTGCGAATCGGCGTCGTCATTTTCTACTAACATATTCCAATGGGGTTCAGCATTTTAGACCATCTTTTAACGGTGAACCCACTGAGTGGGTCACCAATTAAAAAAACAAAACAAAAAAAAAAAAAGGTCGTGAAAACGAGCAACCCAGGTGTTTTGGGTCGCGACTCGGTATTGTGTGGAGAATGAGATTGTCCCATTTTGATTGGATAAGTATATTTTTAAAAAAAAAAATTAAAATAACATTAAAATTCATGTATTTTTATTCTCATAAATAGAGACCACACTTGATAATTTTAACATAAAATTATAATTTGTAAATAAATTAAAATAAAATAAATATTTAGGTTGAGTTAAGTTTTGAATAAAAATAATTTGAGTTGTAAGATTGAGTTGTGTATGTAGAGGAGAGAGAAATCATTTTTAATTATTAAATTGAGTTGAATTGGGTTAGGGATTAAGATAGTCTTATACCATTCCATTTTCATGTATAGTTAAATTATGGGTAAGTTATAATAAAATCTCTAAGACATTCTTTTAACTTCGTGCTCAGTCCCTGTATTTTTTTTTTACACTCTTCATCCTAAAATCATCTTTCACTTAACTCATTATTTAAATAAATCAAAAATTAATTAAAAAATGACATTGTCTCACTACCACTTATTTCTTCTTATTATTTTATTATTTTTTTCTCTCTCACTACTAATTTTCTTATTTTTTATTATTTTTCTTTCTCTCTCTTTCTACATATTTGTTATTATTTTTTTCTCATCTTCTACTATCCATCTGTCCTGCTACTACTTTTTTTTTTAATTTTTTATTATTTGTTTTCTCTTTCGTTCCACACAATATATGATGTAGGGACAAGCATACGAATGGAAAAAGATACGATACGAGTAAACGAGATACTCTCTCGTAAAACACGTAAAACTCACAAAACTCAATCAATTCTTATTTCATATTCAACTGACTAAAACAATATATGATGAACCCTTTAAATAAGACTCCAAAACCCTATTCCTAACTTGTCCAACAAGACAAGATATCTAATAATACTAACTTGTCTAACAAGACAAGAATCCTAACAAAGTGATAAATAATAAGTTTCCTAACAAATC